TGGATAAAACTGCTGCACATTTGTCGTGACCAGAAACCGTCGTGACCGGTCGTGACCAAAACTGGTCACGACGAATGTGCCGCAGTTTTCTCCACCATAGATCATTATATCCTCGACTTTTTTTGTGTCATTTTGAAGAGCATAAAATTCTGAGTAGAAAACATCAAACAGAACTATTTTTTCACATCCACCGTGGAAACTATTATTGAATAATTTTCTTCTTTTTTGGTCACGACGGAATGGTCACGCAGATCTCTACTGTCGACATCTACTGGGTAAGTTAGTTTCATGAATATAATGCATTCAACCTTCAATAACGGNAATAGTTGTGAAAAGCTACGAGCTTACCGTATGAGTTGGTAGCTTTTCTCTACTATTGTACGGATAAAACATGATGTTGTTCGGGCCAATCCAGGGTTATCTACGATTCTCTCTTATATGACCCGAACAATAGTATGTTTTATCCTTACAATAGGACTGTATCAAAATGGGGTACCAAGTCGGTTGCTCACGCCCATATATATATATACATACATCCTTGCATTTATGATTGAAAACAATTGAGATTATTTTGATGGTTTCTTTCTATCAAACCATTAGTGACTTACGAGGAAGCCTCTTTAGGCTGTCATTTTCCGATTTCAATGCTTTGTTTTCGGTCATAGATACTGCATAGTGTTCTAATAAAAACTCTAAAATGATTTGGATTTCTATTAATATTTGAGTAAGCTATCGAATTTTTACTCACCTCTACTTTCTAGAAGTTCCTGTAAGGCCTGAGATTTTTGGAAAACTCATATTTTCGAATTTTGATCTGAAATTTAGCACATATAGAACTCAACTAGACTACGTTATTTTAAGAAATACAGCAATTTTCAACAAAGTCTCTTCAAGATATGAGAGGGTGTGTGGTTATGGACGCTTAAGGGTCGTCCATCGTGATTAGAAATGTCAAGGCTATCGCGACGCTGTGAATTATATGAAACTTTGCGGCTACCATGATGGTTTTCGAGAAATTCTTTGGAAATCGCTTCCGTCACTGTGCTAAATTAGTACCGTTTGATTCAATCCGTTAGATTCACCATTATTCTGACTTTTTAACTCGTAGACACTCAAATCGAATGTAAACTTATGCAATTTTACAATCTTTTCGAAAAAGAAGCTGCCACTACCGCATTGCTGCCGTGTTAATATTTTTAAATCTCTTCCCGTACAGTGGTGGTTTCTATGAAAAAAAAAGGTATCACTGACGTACTGGTGCCACCGTCACGATGGTGGCGTGTGTAAGCGGCACCAACAACGCCACTATGAACATCTCTGACGTCTGAGTGTGGGTATAGGCACGGGCATGGATGTTAGGGTGGATTTGGATAGTCTTTTCAGGCACCCACACACTCAAGAGTGGAGGGACGAAAAATGAGAGAGAAATTCTCGATCGGTAGGAATGTTCACATGAAACTAGAAAAATGGTAATATAATGAGGGGACATATTTCGAACTGTGATTTTTGGAAGTTCCACTATTCGAAATTCTATTTCATTTCAAAGTTTTTACTTCGAGATTTGATTTTGTCGATACTTCAGAGTTCGAGATTTTTGTGTTTGATGTTTTTCGTTATGTACATTGTTCAGAAATTTGTCTGTTGTTTTTTCTGAGATTTCTTTTTGAAATTTTTTTTCGAGTTTTTTTTCTTACAATAATCCAATTGAACCTCATATTTGCATGATAGAATTCGTTAAAAACATTCAAATCATCTGTTCTTCAATTACTAAAGCACAATCATTCGATTTTACATACGCTAAGTTATGTGGGATGACCGACCATTGATAGCTTAAATTTCATATTAATTGATGAAAAATTATTAAAAGACAGATATAGCTTATATTCTCTTGTAACTTTCAATACCGATACCAGAGCATTTTACCCTAAATTCAATTATGAAACTGGCAGTATAGAATGAAATAACACTGTAATGATTATAAAATTATTAAAAAAATGACCAAAGAAAAATTACATCAAATTTTTTTTTGCATTTCTGTGAATATATTTAGGAAGAGAAAAATAAATATAGTTGAGACGGCAGACACAGAAGTGCTAGTACATTTCATTTGAACTCCAAGTGCAGCACTTCATTGTACTTTTGAATCAGTGTCTATTGAACTGATGGAGAGTTTTCATTGAATCCATTCACTTTGCAACTTCTTTTCATGATTGGGATCTACAGTTTATGTATATTTGACAAAATGAGAGCACGTTTTTCGCTTCATTTTTTTAACCTCAATTTGAGCTTTACACAATTGATGAAGCTTTATTGCATGCAGCTTTGTCATGTTCTTTTGATTTTTTAATCAATTCTATTCAGAATTATACATAGAAGAAGCTATATAATATATTATTAGACGACAGAAATACACTGCTTAATGAATTCAAGGGAATTATTTCCCGAGTAGGCGAAAGATTTAATAGAAATAAGCAATTTTTTTAATTTTTTTTTGACGACGAATTCAATTAACAAGTTTTTTTCGTAGATTTAATTGTTTTATGGTATGAGTAGCAACTATGTTTGAAGGAAACGGAACTCTCTTGAAAAATATATTTATGAATATAGGCAAGGTATTGAAGTTTTTCTTGATTTTTGTAAATATCTATTAGAATTGATTGAACAAGATTATAGTCGACAAAATGAAGACAACTAATTAGTGCAACGTTTATGTAAGATGATTTCATAAGATTGAATCTATTAGTTTATTCATCTAAAAATGTCTCAATATCCATGAACAGAATTTTATTTTCCATGATCATTAGACTTGGTTTACTCATATAGATAGCTCTGCAGAAAAACTTTGATGAATCTTTAGAAGAAGTTTCAACACTAGAACAGATAGAAAAGAACTTGTGCAACAGAGAGTAATCAATATTTCAACGAAACAACAAGTTTATGCCTAAAATTTCATTTCAAGACAATAATATATGGTGATTTCATATTTCAAACTATCGATAATAAATTATTGTTCTATTTATAGTCAATTTTTAACGAAGTTAGGTGTTGGTGAAGCTAGACATATGCTTCCAATTCAAATACTCTTCTTTTGTTTTTTAATAATCAAAAAAGACGATAATCAAACAGTTATTCATTACTTCTATTACTTCGAACGAGCGCGTATAGAGAACTCTGTAAAGTGTTTGATTTAATTTTCTAGTCGCATTTTACATAGAGATATGAATATGTAATTATTTGTTCTGTTAATATAATATCGATGAAAAGCATGACATTTTTTTCCAAAGGCAAAAAAGCGAAAGAATCTGTGTTTTATTCATGAAACAGTATGATTGCAATCACACAGGTAGATCGAATCGTTGTTGAAAAGCACGTCGAATATATTTATATATCCAAATACTACCATCAAGATCAGTAAGAGTTAAAGCTTTCTTCACAGTACAGCTATGAATTTTTTGTTTTTCTGCGTGAGTATTACAATCTTACAGGATACACATATTTATACATTATACGTATTTTAAGACTGAATAATAGTTGATAAAGTCTTAAAGAGAATATATTGTTTTTGAGGGAAAACTTTTCACAACAAATACACGCTATTAAGACTAGAAAACCATGAAAAAATTTCACTTCGAAAAGTATTTCTAATCGAGTTTTATTCTTATTTTATTGAAGTTTATCTGTTTCAGGATATTCAAAGAAGATGTTTCAATCCAACTATTGTGAAACAATCTTAAAGGAATTTTAAAATATATAGGACAGAAGTTTGACATAAGTTCAGTTTTGCCGACGATAATTTTCGTCGATTGCCACATCGTCGAATGGATTCATAACGAAAAACAAGTTTGGATCAAAGATGATCCTTTGCATATATGACATTTTATTATTATTAATTTGTTTATTACTAAATTGATTCGTAACCATCTGAGTTAGTGTGAGTGTGGGACGTGGGGCGTGGATGTAAGTGTGAAGAGAATAACATCTACATCCAGATCCACATCCATACCTTACCAGTTCACATGCTCACCAATCGATTCGGTAATAAACTAATTAATTATAATAAAATGTTGTATATAGAACGGATCATATTTAACCCAAACTCATTTTCGATTATGAATTCATTAGGTGATGTTGAAATCGACGAAAATGGAAATTATCAAAACTTGCACCTACCCTACTTCCAACAGACAATAACAGACATTACCATGGAAGTGTTACAAACAATGACAAGCACGTTATAAACAACTAATCATAAACATGACGAATATCTTAGCAGCGACATATTAAAGATGCAGCAGACACCTTAGCAACCCCTCGTCTTCTCCTCTCCTCGCTCGTATCACAGACCATGACAGATGCCTTAGCAACACTTACCCTCTTTGGCGTGACAGATTATGGTACGCCTTGTTCATGTGCGATCAAAGACTACGTGTCAATAACGCTTCGTTATAATATATGAGCTACCTTCTTATTACATTTCTGAAGGATTAAATAAAAGCATGGTGAAGAAATATGTCCCGGAGTCGGTAGAATACAATAATCTCCCTATAATTAACAACAACGGCTACATCGTGTTTCACATGTTAATTCTATAGGAATTGCGCTAACAAGTTTTTTCTGTTCATATTTAGTTTCCTTAAAATATTTCAAATGGTGAGATGTTTCTCTCATTTCGAATCCACGACAAGATACCTGTTTCTTTAATAGAACAGAGTTTCAATAAAATAATCATAATTCGAGCAGGAAAATCTATGAAGATAAGATAGAACGTCACGTTGACTTGTGAATCAATCCGATCATTTCTTCAAAACCACTATTCTAAACATTAGTGAGTTCATTTTGTGATAAAATTTCTAAATATTCTGAAAATTTTGATATAGTTTTTTTCAAAATCGTTAAGTCGAATTTTTGTAGGATGATCATAATTTTATTTTCCATAGCAGATAAACAAACATTAAATGAATTTTTTCAGACATTGAGTTTTTTAGAGAAAAAATATCATAATGGTCACTTTATTACTAATTATACTTTATTGTCTTGTTTTGATCGATGGAAAGCATTTCAACGGAGGCACCATTCGATGGGAACCGGTAAATCCTTATGTTAATTCCTCAACGGTTCCAATTACAATTATACAGACATACTCATGGGCGTACCCGACTATAAGCTGTGCAACAAATGTACCGATTTCAACCACCGGACGAAGTAATGCAAATACTAATTTGACATGTACTGCTGATTGTTCAACTGATGGTGGCTATTCAAATACACCAGTTAATATTTTAACCGACTGTATTTCAACTAGTTCTTCATTAGGTATGATGACAAGTGAACGATCAGTCAATATAACATTGTTGGCTGATGCACATTTTTATCTATCATATATGGGAAGTGCTTGGGTAGGACTTAATTATCCAATCCAAAGTGGTCTTCAATGGTCAATGACAACTTTCATTGATCTTCGACTTCGAGATGATGGTTTTATTAACACTTCACCAGTGGCAAGCGTTGTTTCTCCACAATATGCTGTTGTGAATACATCTACTCAGATTCGAATTCCCGTTTCCGATGCCAATGCAGGTGATGATGTACGTTGTCGATGGTCAAAATACACACCAGGAGTTAATCGACGAAGACGATTGATTGAAGACAAATCTAGACAGTATGAATCTTCTGGACACGTTTATAAAAAATTGTTCATAGACGCAGAAACTGTTCATATTAGAAAGGGAAGAGATGGAGGCGCCTGTGATAATTGTGATAGGTCGTGTGCAAGATACTGTCCTTGCAGCTGCTCTGCTTGTATCGGGACTAATTGTACTGGTTCAAGTTGTTCTACAAAGTACACGTGCCCACCATTATCCCATACAACAGTATCGACTACTATAGAAACTCCCGGTACAATAGCATCAACGCTATCGTATGGCACACGACAAGCCATTGATGAATGTGGTGGTATTTGTTATCCAAACAGTTTACCAAACGGCACGACGTTGTCTAATTGTACTCTGTCATTCATAGGATTAGTACCTGGTACTTGGTATGCAGTTGCTGTTCAAGTAAGCAATTTATTTAAAAGAAAGCTCAATTCATATAAAAAACTAGTTCAATCCATGATCATTCAACATAAAAGTCATTTCTTCTTCTTCAATGAGACAATATTTTATTGTAATATTTTTTCCCAACCAACAACTTTTCCAGAACGTGTATTGAATTAAGAAAATTTTTCTTACTTAAAGTAGCAGGTATAAATGAGGCGCTTCATCTGAAAATCAATTTTGAACTAGAAGCACTCAAATTGATGACCATTCGAAGATATGTTGTGTGTGTAGTAAAGAGGATATAGTGGAGTTTTCACGTCGATACACGAATGTTTTCATGAGATATGCATCAAAGAAGTGTCAAAAAAAACAGTTAAATTGGTTAACTCAAAATTTCCTGTGTGTTTTCAATCTAATTATATATTATATTTTTGTTGCCTTTGAGAGAGCATTTCAGACTGTAGGACTTGAAAAAGCTCTTCTTTTCAAATTCTTACTTTCTTGTTGAAGGCTATGAGTGACAAGTCCTGTACGGCGAAAAACTGAAGAAACTAGCCTTTTTGAACCACTTATTGAGACTCCTTTTGTGACATTGGGCTTTTCATCCTTAGCCTCCAACAATAGCATAAGAATTTAAAAGGAAGAATTCTTTCAAGTTCTGTTGCCTGCCATACTATCTCACAGAAAAGAAAAAGAAAATATAATAGAATGAAAGCGCACAGAACATTTTGAGTTGCCAATGTGACTATTTTTGTTACCCTTTTTAAATGAATATTTCATGAAAACAACATGATGTCAATCTGAAAATTTGACCATATACTCTCTACTACATCCCCAACATATTCTGAAAAATTTTTACGCAATTTGAATATTCGTAACTCGAAATCAGTGGTAAGGGAAAAGGAGCCTAGACATAGACATTCCTTTTTTTTTAATTAAATCTTTATTAAAATTTTAACTGCACAATTTATACTACATTAAATTTGATCTAAACACATCAGAAGTTAACGATCATTTTAAAAGAGGTTGTAGCATGTCTATGTAATTTTCTACATAATGGAAAATAGTAAATCTTTCATTGATCAATAACATTGATGAAACTAGAGACTTATAAGAATTTAGAACACTAACCGAATTGACTGATAAATCATTCCATTAGATTCACATAAAAGTTGCAATATAAAAGCTTCGGTGAATTGAAAAATAGGAAATTGTGAACTACTTTCTTTTCGAAAATTTGATATTGCAAGATCAACTACATTATTTTCTATTATTTATGTAGGTAGAAGATTTTATCAATGAATCAAGTAATACTCCAATGAGTTCCGTACCAGTTCAATTTTTAATTTATGTTATGCCACAGCCATTCTGTCAAAAACCACCAGTGATTGTACCCTTTGTGGATTGTATGGAAGTTCTTACTGGTGTTTCGAAAAGCTTTAGTATTTATGCGATGACGATGTGTGATCCAAATGATGTTGATATTGCAGAATTCGTCATTACAAGTGGAATAACTGGTATGGTAGTTGGAAGTCTAACGAAGTCAACTTCAAATTCATCGTTATCCTATAGAAATTTCACTTGGACACCACAAACTAATCAAATTGGATTAGAAGAATTGTGCATGATTGTCTTTACAGAGTAAAGCTTTTGTTTCGCTACTCTTTGTCCCATGTATTATGTCTTTATTCTTTTAACTAGAGAAAGCGTACAATCAGCAGAATATTGCATCACATTCGATGTAGTAACATCGCTTGCGCTTTGTGCACCGACAACAACAACGACTACAACTACGACTGAATCAACTACAACATCAATTTCAACGACATCAACTACTAAAACTAGTACAACATCGACAACATCTACGAGTACAACATCGACAACATCTACAAGTACAACAATGTAAGTAGTAACAGAAAACATTTCAATGTTATGCAAGAATCGATTCCATATTAAACATTCTGAATCATTTTTCTACTTGCGAATAACTAATGCATAGATAAAGACATACACGTGTATGTAAACATTTCACAGTTTTGTAAACATCTCAAATGATTGCTTCAAAGATCTTGATTTGAATGGAATTTTAGAAATAATCGATATCAGTTGCAAAGTTTTTGGTTCTTTATTCTGTTAATCTAGAAACATGAAATGAAACTGTCTTATTTTATATTATAGGACTACAATGACAACGACCAAACATCCAGGTAGGATCTGTGAACATGTGTCAACTATTTGCATGAAATCTAAACATATGATGTGATCATTTTTCAGTCACCGAAAACTTTTTGAATTTTTGAAGAACAAAACGTTTATTCTTTTATCTATTGAGATTCTTCTGATCTAATGAACTAGGTCAACTTGTACATATGAGTTCGAAAGAGTTAAAACCTACACAGCATTGAAGCAGCGAAATAAAATCTTGTGAATATGAAATTCTCAAAAATTGAAAACAGCTTAATTAAGATATCAGTCTTCTATACGAAAAAACTCAGTTTATGTCATTTTGTTATTTTTCAACAGACATCAACTGTTTTTTAAATATTTTTCTGACATTTTAAATCCATATACAAATTATCATTGTTTAAATAGGAAATCCTATAAATTGGCTACTGATTTTGGGCTTGTCATTGTTGGCTCTACTCTTGGTCATATGTTGCTGCTGTTGTTGTGTATATCGTTATCTTTGGTAAGCCTTGTCTGAAATAAGAAACATGAATATTCAATAGTACATTATTTCATATTGGATACACATTATATCTTTTCGAAGGATACCTGCTGCACGACGTCGCCGACGAAAGAAAAAAGATGATGCTACACAACAATACAAACATCTGCTATCAAGTACACAAGAAATGGCATATGCTGCTTCGTCAGAACTTAATCGAAGCTTTCAAATAAGCAAACCAAATAAAAATTATCGCATCTACAATATACTAAACAATAATGACAGCACAAAAAATTCGTTCTCACTGACAAAAATAAATGGAAGAATGCCAACAACAACAATTTATCCGAGAAGTGGAAATCATGTTAGTATTGTACGAATAAGTAAAACTGAATACCCACTCGAAATTGGAAATGTACCGAAAGAACAAGCAACAGAGCATATCGATGATACTACATCAGCTGCTCAGCCTTCTACAGTGAAGGTTCAATGCGTAAAAAATGTATCAAACAAAAATAAAAAAATCAATCCCGAAGCTATTCCTCTACAAGAGTTGCGAGTTTCAGCAATATCAACATTCACAAGTGCTAAAGTTACAGTCACTAAATTACCTCGCAGTAGCACTCTTGAAACTCAACCAAACCAAACCATCGATGATAAATTGCACGATCACAAGAAAAATCAACACAACTTTAAATTGCCTTTCCACTCTAAAAGTGATAATGTTGAAGTCATACATATCAGTACTGGGCAACTAAAAAGTAATCGTCTTACTTCGTCTATCAATCAACGATCACGATCATCGGATATTGATAGTGTTAATGTTCAGAAATGGAAAAGGCCAACCGTAACTCCTTCGAAGCCTGATACGTTTTCAGCAAGTAACAAAATCAAAGCATTCACTACACTGGCTGTGGTAAAAATACCAAAAAACCGTTCTCAATCGTCATAAATATTCATGGACAATGTTTGCAACAATTTGAACTATTTTATTGAATTAACTTGAACTATCTTCTTAGTCTCAAATAAGAGAACTGTTTTGATTACTGATGCGAATTTATAATTTCTATTTTAATTATACTTAGAAAACTCTTATAGATTGACCTATTTTTACAGACATTCTCTAGTGTAAAATCATTCTTTGCGTATTATTTACAATTGCATGATTGCTGCTCACAGTTCTGTCATTTGTTCTTTTTAAAATGAACAACAAACGCGATGATAATACATATAGTTCTATTAATTTACATGTCTATCGCAATAATGGACACCAAAAACTACTCATAATTAGATGACTCAAGTTTATAGTACCAATCGGTGTATTCTATCAAACTCGTCGATACACATGTAAGAGATATGCATGACCCGCTAGGAACTACTCGCTTCGCGATTTTCTGTACTTTTATATCTTTGTTGAGTGGGTCACACTTTTATCATACCAGTTGTGAAATTCTATTGTTAGCACGTTCTTTTTTCAAAGAATCTGCATAAAATACTGAAAGGTCGGAATAAGGAATTACACAGTTGGCAGACTAGTTTTCAATGATATATAGTTCGTGTTATTAACTCATTTTGATATTCATTTGTTAAATTTATAAATGCCATAGTTAGCAATATTGATTAAAACTTAATCTGATAAAAAATTGATTTAACTCAAAGCTAAGTGAATTTCACTGTCACGTGCATATTATTTAAATTTGCTGTAAATCTAAGTTTGTTTAAATTTAATTACAAAATATGTTCAAATTGAAATGAGAATTTTATAGGCATACGTGTACGTCTGGTTATGTCTTGCCTAATTAAGTATTTTTAAAGCATCTCTAATATGAGGAAAAAGTTACCAAAAACGAATTGTTCAGTCACCGTTAAACACGGTTGCGCATCATTCATTAAGAAAGGCAGGAGTGATTGTGTTGTTCGCTAAAAAAGGCTTTCTTATGAGTAACTGTCTCCACGGCATCCATTCTTCATGCTTTTAGGTGTGATGCACTTTGCTGATATGTACCAATTCATCTATTCTTCGTTGTTGTGATGATGATAAAGATGACTATTTTCATCTTATGAGCAACTTCTCAGTTCTATATTCATAGAAATTGAAAATCTGATATTTTTAATTCAAAGAACATCATTTCGATTTTCAAAGTTATCAAATTATAATTATAATTCATTGTCAAAGTTCTAATTATCATCTGTTCGAAAATAAGTTTAGCACTGGTTTTGCGATTAGACTACTCTCAACTTCAGACATTGACTATATTCGATATTTGGACTCATTTTACACTGATTTCCATCAACGATGGTTAACATGTTAGAATAAAATCTCTCAATACTTCCGTGTTACTCTTTCGAATAGAAACTAATTGAAAAGAAAAAGAAAAGAACGATCCAAAAATACCTTATGCTTCAGTGTCAGATGATATTATAATGATTCTTTTGCGTTTCATTGTTTTAGAGTTAATATCTGTACACATTAGATATGATACAATTTATATATCAGCAAACTTGAAATTTTTTTCATTGAGAAAATATTAGATTGTATTCGTACCCTAATTATTTCTAAAAAACAAAATACAAAAAATTAAGTTTTAAGCATATTGACGAAGCAAAAGACATTGAAATTTTAAGAGCATTGAATAATTCATATGCTTTCTGTTAACATCTACCTTTATTGTATTGTTTTTTAACTGTTACAAATATTTCCAAAGTGACTAATTCCAATTTTTAAACTGCTAACAGTACTTATTATTATAATTTCTACATTGTTTACGATAGCTTTGCTGAAAATGATCTTTCTCTAAATTTAACATTATCCTTAGCAGACTTAAATACTTATGAACAAACAAGTTTTCTTTTCTTGTCTATTATTCGAATTTCTTACAAAATCATTTTATTAAGAAAAATAAACCCAAATCAATTTTATGTTTTAATCATCATTGAATTGATTATATTTTTTTAAATCTCAATGATTTATTCAATAGAAAAAAAGAATATGGCTGATAAATCAACACATGATAAACCAGACAAAAGAGAACAATGCACGTCTAAGACGAAACAAAACGTGGAATGGTTCTTCAATTTTCATGCTGGTCTTTATACACACAAAAAACAAAAATTAAATAAATAAACGACAGCAGTAATAGGGAAATGTCTTATATTTTTAGTTTCTATTGCACACACACACACAACCTCATAGAAAATCCATTAAAAAGAATACTTTTTGTTTGTAGAATTCTTATTGATCTATGTCAGATCAATATGACCACCAATTTTTTTCGCAATATCTTCAGTTAATGAACGAAATACACGATCAGCACGTAATGTTGATAATGGTGTATCATCAATATGTTTTAAAAATACTTCTTTATTTTGTTCTTCAACAGCAGCAATTAATTGACGAAGTAATTTAACTTCAAGTAATCGCTCTTCAAATAATGGATTATCACTTATATAACGATTAAGTACCGTATTGGCATTTTCAACATCAATACATAATGCACACATTGTAGCCCTATAAAAATAATTATATTTAAAAAGCAAAATTTCAAGAACTAGAATGGTATCTTTTCTTTCATTTATCTTTCTCTCCCACGTTCAATCATTACAACTTCCTGATCCATGGATTTCCGACGGAAACCTACAGAAAAGACGCCATTTTTAGCTGGAAAATGGTAGGAACTTGGAAGCATGAGTTCAGTAATCGCATCTGGTTGCTGGCTCTGTCCTGTTCCGACTGAAACTGGCCGTACCTCTCTTGCACCTGTGCTCTTTTTCAACCATTTTACTGACATTGTCTGAAAAAGCGATTGGAAAATAGAGAAAAATAGCTAACGGAAAAAAAAGATCGCCCTTAGCAATACAAGAGCTAGTATCGATCACTTGTTACGTATGTTCGTAGTCAACTAGTGAATCATGAAAAAGGCTCATTGATTACCTTAACCAAAAATCTTTCGCACCATATTTGAGCAACGGATCATCTTTTGTTTTATCGGCCATTTCTTCATATTGTTGTTGTGCTTGCATAAATTCATGTTGAAGTGCAAGTGTTTCAGCCATTCTTTTTTGTACTCGATTTGCACCTGCTTTTTGCCCTTCTTGTCTTAAAAATCGGTGTGCTTCTTTTAAACATTTCATCATATTTTCAAGATCGTTCATTTGTTCATATAAATCTGCCACTTTTTCTAATGTTTGTGATGCCATTGTCCACTTACCTTGTGACATATGTAATTCAGCAGCACGTGTTAATGCTGGTACGGCTTGTGGTAAATCAAACATTTTATATGAAGATGCAATAGCTTCATACATTTGAGCTTTTTCAAAATCTTCAGTACTTAAATCTAATGCTCGTTTATAAGCTTCAACAGATATTGGATAATCAGCTTCAGCTTTACCAGCATTACCAGCTTGAACATAAAGTGTACGAGCATCTTCAGCTGCACTACTACCAGCACCAAGCATACGTTGAAAAAATCCATTTGCTGATTTAGCTTTTTTATTTGCTTCGGCCATCAATTGAGATGCCGACTTAGTAGATCCACTGGCCATTTTAATAATTAATCAAAGAGAAAATAATAGAAAATCTGAAATACCAAAAAGAACACATGAGACTTTTTTTGGTCACAAAAATGAAAACAAAATAGAAGTTATTCTAATAGAACAAAGATTTAAGAAAACAAAATCAATCTAATACGACGACAGTTGCAATCGTGTGTTTTTTTTTGAATCGACCAATGTACAACCAAACTAAAAATTCAATAGATTCTTAATTAATAAAATTTTTTTTCTTTAAACTGAACATACCATTGTTCGGTGCTTCTTTATCAGTGATCAGTGATTATGATTTACATCTATGAAAAGACATGAAAATAAATTTATTTTGTTTTTTTTTCAATTGATTTCTCACCTTCCATCGATAACCACAGCTTTTACAAAAAACAAACAATGTCATCGGTTCATCAGCACTACGTGTTTGAGCTTCTGTATAGGCGCAATTATTTTGTTTACATCTACAAATATTCTTTTGTTTTCAATCAAAAAAAAAAGTAAGACGTAAATCATACTTTCTACATTGAATCAGATCAGTCCCAGTGCCTTCATCCATCGCAAGTTGATGTTCATTAATAGCACTTTCATTTAATTTTGAACGTTCTTGTTTTAATGCATCACTTGCCATTTCCTTTCAAAAAAATAAACGAAAAAAATTGTCAACAAACAAAAAAAAAAACAAGTAATGCAACAAACTTCAGCAGTAAGTACGGCTAATCGTTCTGGTGTAATAAAACCAAGGAGAACATTTATACGAAGATTAGGATTTTTTAAATCTTTTAAATTTGATATTCGACTACGAACACGATTACGATATTTAACACCTGTATCTTTTAATTCTTTAAAAATAGCTAAACAAAAAAACACAAGAATTTAAATTTAAAATAAATTCATTTGCTTTGGTTTTATACCATCTTCAACGCGACCAGCTAATTCTACTGGATCAGCTGATCCTTCTGGAAGTTCAGAAGCTGAAAAGGCATTTGCTACAAGATCTCGTGATTTTAATCTAAAATGAAAACAATAAAGATACCTTTCATTCAAAATAAATTTTTTTCATACCTGATTTCATCATGTGTTTGTGATGGTGGATAACAACTTGATGCTGATTGAGAAGGTTGACGTTCAAAAGATTTACTTGATTCAAGATTCTTTCCAACATTAATATTAGTTTCTTGAGATTGTTGACTATTATTGTTATTATTATTATTATTATTGTTGGTTGGTGTTGATTGTTTATCATCTTTATTTCCAGGTACCGATGTAGATGATTCTTTTGAATAATTATCATAAAATTTTTTAAATAAAAGAGATCAAAAAAACACAAACCGGGTACAAGTTTTTTCCAATTTTTTAAAAGACTTTTAGCGACAGTTGATAAATCTTCATTCGCAATAACTCGTCGTAAATTATTAACAGTTTTTCCAATACCAGTTTTTTGAAGAATACTCAGTGTAATACGTGACTCTTGTAAACGGATAAGTAAATCTCGTGCTATTGTTTCATCCTAAATACAATGACTTAAATGAAACGAAAAACTAAATTTTGAAACATACAACTTCTGATTTATCAATCATTTTTTGTAATTTTCGATTAATTTTTCCTATTTCTTCTTCAGACATTGTTTTAACAAGTGATCTAAAGTTAAATACGAAAAAAAAAGAAGAAGAAACTTAGTCATTGCCTACTTTATTTGCTAAAGAAGAGAATACGTGCGTATGCAATAACAATAATAAGGATTAGATTCAAGCAAAATGATTCATTGACTTTTTGCTGTCAAACAAAAAAATAGATTGTTTTCCTTTTTTTATTTTTTGAAATTAAATGAAAATTATAAAATTGAATTAAATTCAGTAAATTAATGACCTATAAATAGATGGCAGTAGTGAAAATCTTAGTAAAGGTCCACAATTGATTTTTATTCGTTCGTTTGAGATAATTTTCTCTTTGATTATTCTTTGAAGAAATTGTTTTTTCGAATGGATTGATATGTTCAAAATTCGTCTATTAATTCGACTTTGTATTATTTATTTCTTTTTATTTCTTTTTATTTCTCTATGGTATTTATCAAAATTAGAAACCAATGAAACGAAACCTTCATTAATACATCGTTTAGCTGTTATTGTTCCATATCGTAATCGTTCAAATGAATTAGAAATATTTTTACCTCATATGAATTCATTTCTTAACTCTCAATCTATCGATCATATTTTCGTAATTGTAAATCAAGTTGATAAACATCGGTTTAATCGTGCTGCTCTAATTAATATTGGTTTTATTGAATCTCGATCATTTGTTGATTATATTGTTATGCATGATATTGATCTTCTTCCATTAAATCATAAAGGATTACCATATATATATCCAGAGCATGGTCCAATACATTTGGCATCACCAGAATATCATCCAATTTATCATTATCCCAGTTATGTTGGTGGAATATTGATTATTACTTGTAAAGATTTCGAACGTGTTAATGGTATGTCACCGTTATATTGGGGATGGGGTAGAGAAGATGATAATTTTTTTGTGAGAATGAAACGTACTGGAATGAAAATATATCGTCCAAGTAATTTATCTACAAACAATACTAATACATTTCGACATATCCATGATAATAGTATACATAAACGAGATTATGCAAAATATGGAAAACAAAAAGAAGAAGGAAGAAAAATTTATCCAGAACTAGGTTTTAATACAACAAAGTATGAAATAATCAATAAACAAATAAAAAAGACTAATCAGAGAATTGAATATATTATGTTAGATGTTAAAATTGAATGTGATTATAATCTAACATCTTGGTGCGATCATTCTACTAATATTTTGAAATAATTAGTCAGATATTTATAATAAAATGAATGTTTTTTTTTTTTTTTACTTTTTGATAAATTTTTAGATATCTAGATGAGTGTTAGTCGTGTTGTTATTACTGGTCTTGGTGTTGTTTCACCATTAGGTGTTGGTGTAGAATTAAATTGGCGTCGTTTATTAGATAATTATTCAGGTATTGTTTCACTTGATGAAACAGAATATGCTGGTATTCCATGTCGAGTCGCTGGTCGCGTACCAATAAGTTCCGAAAACAAAAATCAAGATGGTTCACTTAATTTTTCCACATATTTTACACGAATGTCGGATTTAAAATCCATGTCATTAGCCAGTGCTTTTGTTCTTGTTGCTGCTCAAGAAGCAATTGAAAACAGTCAAGTAAATATGTTTTTGTTTTTTTCTATGTGAAAATATTCAATTAGTAAATAGATACTTTCAGCATATAATGATCGAACACGAATTGGTGTATCCGTTGGTAATGGAATAGCTGGTCTAACAAATACATGTACTATATGGGAACAAATGAAAGCAAAAGGAATATATCGTGGAATGAGTCCATTTTATATAACACAAATTTTACCAAATTCATCAGCTGGTTATATATCAATTCGACATAAATTACAAGGACCTAATGTATTTGATTAGATTTACATAGATATTCATAAAGTTAATAAATTATTTTGTTTAGCTTTGTAATAGTTCAGCTTGTGCAGCTGGTGTTCAAGCAATAGGTGATGGTTATAATATGATTCGTCTTGGTCATGCTGATGCTATGATATGTGGTGCTACAGAAGCAACAATTAATCCAATAACAATATCAGGCTTTGCACGAATGCGTGCTCTTTCAACATCATTTAATGATCAACCTAGACTTGCATCACGTCCGTTTGAGTAAATGAGTTTTATTTGTTTGATAGATGTATTTAGTTTTACTTTGTAATTGTTAGTCGACAACGAGATGGCTTTGTTATGGGCGAAGGAGCTGCTATTCTCATATTGGAACGACTTGAATATGCTGAAAAACGCGGAGCTAAAATTCTCGGTGAAATACTTGGTTACGGTTTGAGTTCAGATGCAAGTCATATTACAAATCCAAGTGGATCAGGAGCATTAAATTGTATGAAAAATGCAATTGATAATGCTCGTTTGAATACGAAAGATATTGGCTATATAAATGCACATGCTACATCGTATGTATTAGACTTAATTTAATTTGATTGAAACCAAATAATGCATCGGAGAGATGAGGATGATTAAGCAATAAAATTCATTCCCTCTCGAAATTAAGCTTCATATTTTTCTAATAGTCAATCCGGATGTCAGGAGTTAATAGCCGTTTGAATTATTCATTTAGTCTTGATTTCAGCTGTGCGTGACTGACTTAAATCTCGATATTATCTATCCTCTATATAGCCGTGGTATTCAGTGTTCATTTGAAAACTTTTTCTTCCGCTATCGAATGCCATAGAAGAATATGACACAATCCTCTTCTTTCAATTTTGACTTTACATAGCATTGTTCACTCATATACAGAGTATTACAGTATCAATGATGAAATTCTCTTCCTATGGTTCTATGAAGATACCGATTCACTTTGGATTACATACTATTCGGTAGCCGTTTTAGAGCTCTGTAAAATGTTGTTATACTACCGAGTTTAATTTGTGAATAACACTCTTCACTCATGTGCGCAATGCTCGACGGCGCTAAAAATTGCTCCTTCTGACTGATTTTTTGCCTCAATGCTTATAAAAACTTGAAACGATCTCTGTATGTCAAAATACAATTCATAAGATTTCATCATCCAACAAAAATTCAGTTCTATTTCCCCTCAGGGATATGTCAAAAAATAAATTCCATCAAAACTTCGTTTTTATTATTTGTCCAGTTGTTATGTCAGGTTTTTCTAGCTTCCTTTAAAGCTGACAATTGTATTTTCATAATTAATTTGACATTTCGATTGAATTAATTTTTTGATGCATCCCTGAGGGGAACTAGTGATGAATTTTTAGGACAAAATGAAAGTAGATAGATCATTTTTTTTATGTATTTTGATCCATTCAGTTTTTTATGCTGATGCCAAATATATCATTTTTTTGATAGAAAGTCTAACTATTCAGGTTAAAAACCAATAAAAAGAGCAATTTCCAGCGCTGTCAAACCTTGCACTTTTGAGTGAAATGTCTTATTCATAAATTAAGCTCGACATAATAGCAACATTTTACAGAGCTTCAAAATGGCTCTCGGTTAGTTTGCAATTCAAAGAGATTTACTGCTTTCACGACATCATACAAGAAGAATTTCTTCATGGACACTCGAATACTCTGTATATAAGTAAATAATGCCATGTAAAGTCAAAAGGAAAAGAAGAATATTGTGTCATATTCCTATAGGCCATTCGATAACGGAAAGAAAATTTTACAAATGAACACTCCATATCAAATCTCTATCAAGAATAGATAATATCGAGATTTAAGTCGACCTTGCACAGCCAGAACAAGGACTAGCTGAATAATTCGAAAGGCAATTTACTAGTGACATTCAAATTGTCTATTGGAAAAATATGTAACTCAATTTCTAGCGGAGTCCGATTTCATTGCTTACCGACCCGCTCCCTCATCTTTCTAATCTATCATAATCTTGTAGAACTCCAATCGGTGATCGTATTGAACGACAAGCTATTACACAATTATTTCAATCAAATAATCCCAATGTTTTAATTTCAAGTAATAAAGGCCATACTGGTCATTTACTCGGTGGTGCTGGTGCTCTCGAATCTATATTTACTGTTCTTGCTTGTAGTCATGCTATATGTCCTCCAACATTAAATTATAAAAGTAATAATGATGAATCCGAAGATTCATCATTATTAAATATTATTCCTGATGATAAGCCACTATCATGGAATAATAAAAAGCGTATTGCATTGAAAAATTCATTTGGTTTTGGTGGAACAAATTCTTGTATTGTTATATCAAATTTTTTTTAGATAAATATGTCATTTGCCGATCAATTAAAGTCAGTACGACTGCGTTCAACACAACAACCAAGAGAAAAAATCAATGAACAACTTTTTTGTCCTGATAGTGAAACATATAGAAAAATGATGAATGAAACACAATTTGAATATTATTATGACATTATTAAACAATGGACATTTCCATCAGCTATTTTACCAATGAATGAAGATGACATAAAAGCGCTTCATGATGGACATTTACTTTTTAAAAATTCTTCATTAGATGATGATGACAAAAAAACCGAAGAATGTTTTCAACATTATCCACAACTATTTAAATTATCAAATGCAATTGATTCTTGTGATATTCAACGTCCGATATTTATACGTTTATCAACGCGAAGTCCGAAAGATGCAATTTTATTATTGAATAAAGAGAAATCTAAACGACTTTTTCAAAAAGTATTGCATGAAATGGAGCCTGATAATACATCTGGTTTGGTTTTTATTTATTTTCTATATTTATCATTCTATTTATTTTAGAACGTAATCGACGTTTAATTGCACTTGATGAAACATCAATTCGTTTCTTAGCTGTAAATGATGGTTTTCATGCCATACAACTTCTACTTGCTAGTGAACGTATTCAAGATGATCTAATATCTTGTTCATCATTGAATTTAATAATTCGTCAATTTATATTTGATCGTCGAAATTTAAAAAGTGAATTTCGTGCATTTATATTTAAACATCAATTAACCGCATTAACACAATATAATGAATATATATTTGATAAAAATTTGTTGAAAAGAAAAGATTTTATATTAAAATCTATTAAAGATTTTTTTCAAAATGAACATGTACTTGAACGAATTCCTTATGAAAATTGTATATTAGATTTAATATTAATTGAAAACGAAAATAATAATTATCAAATATTTATTTGTGAAATAAATCCATTAGCAGAATTTGCTGGCACCGGATTATTTTCATGGTTAAATGATCGAGATATTTTATTAGGTCATCAAGAGTTTCAATTTCGTATAAAAGAAAATGATAATAATGATCATTCCGAAGCAAGTGATCAATGGTTATCATTAATTAATAATTTCTAAAGAACAGAAGATTTTTCTTTGCTTTCTTTTTATTTCTTTTCAGATGTTTTAATAAGAATAAACATGCTACATCAATCAGCAGATATAATTAATTTAAATGTTGGTGGTCAACGTTTTTCAACTAGTCGACAAACATTAACATGGATATCAGATTCATTTTTTACTGCCATGCTTAGTGGATTAATATCAACAAATCGAGATGAACAAGGTTATATATTTATTGATCGTGATCCAAAATTATTTTCAATTATTCTAAATTATTTAAGAACAAAGGAACTTGGTAAATGAATTAGTTTTGTTAATAATATTAAATTGGTCTCTACAGAAGTTTTTAAATGATATTAGGCAGATTCTTTGCAATTTTGGTAGATTATTGTACCTACTTAATATTAAATAGTTGCGAAGGTTTAGGCTGTTAGCTTGTAGTACGAATCAGAACTTGTACCAAAAATATCACGTACTATGTCAGAAAATATTCTAATGAACTTGGTTAATATTTTTAAATGAAGACATTTCCAAAATAAAATGAAACGTATATCAAGTTATCAATGTTCTTGTATTTGATTAGTATCTTAATCAATTATGAATTTTTAATTGCCTTGGTATTTTATTTATCATTAGTTAATATAAAGAAACATTAAAGATCTTTTTCCATTCATTTTTAATGTCGTTTTTCAGTTGTTCAATATGGCTGTATTCCCAGTCTCGTCATTTGTCTGTTAATGAATTCCAAATGTTTTCTAGAGGTGATATATCAGCTAGTTTTATAGCACAATTTGTTGGCTTATTTAGATTAATAAAAATATGTTCCATGGCATCCAAAGTTGTCTGTATCCTTTATTTAGGATCATTGAGAAAAAGTACCATGCTGCAAATCACCTAATTCTTTAGCTGCGCTTTTTTTACCTCAATATTTCGACAGAACTTCGCATATCTTTGACCAGGTAAAATACATTTTCTATCGTCGAAAATTTTCTCAATTTAACTTATTCAAAAATTAATAACATAGTATATGATAGTTTTGTTACAGTCTTTCATCCATAATGGAAGTTGTCGAGCAAACACTTTTTTATTATTTAGTACTAATAGAGGAGTGTCTCTAAATGTCAAATTGCTTGCAAGTCAGGGCTATATGCATCATGTAAATTCTAATGAACTTTGACTTCCCTGAAAAAGTTCAAGCTATTAGCTAGTACTGCCAAGATACTGCATGTTCAGGGTATTTTTTAACATAATGATGTGTCGTCAGCCCTCCAAAATAATAGAAGAACTGATTTTCAAATTGTGACTTGAAATTTTGAACAGAGATAAGCCTTAACAAGAGTAGTTTATTATAAAAGTTCAGATCATTGTGATTGCATCTTTTATGCCATAAGAAAATCGGAATTTGCCAATGTATATGAGCGATGTAGAAAATGTGTTCTTTTTTATCATAGCTATATCTTAGGATAGAAGAAACAAAATGAACTGACACTTTCACCACAAAATATTCTCATTAAGACCTGTCTCTGTGAAATGTTTCTATCCGAAATTCGAAACTCAATTTTTCTAGTATTCCTAAGGAATGGGGGCACGTCATTGTGCAAGACAATAACGTAAAACCGGGATATCCCGACAGCGATAAGCTAATAGGTCGAACCTTTTTTTAGGAAACTTGTAGCTCATTAGGATTTACATGAATGCACATAGTCCTGATTCAAGAGCAGTTTGATACTTGACAACGTTCTCTCGTAAGTAGATACAATATTGTGAGGGGTTTGCTTTTGTTGAATACAAGAAAGGTGAATTTTAAAAATTCGTTTGAAAACTTCTAGAACACTTCGTATTCTTTTTCATTTTTTTAATACTTAGATATCAATGGTTGCGATCTTCATATGTTAAAACATGAATGTGAATTTTATGGTGTACAACCATTAATTCGTCGTTTACAACTTTGTGAAGATCTTGAACATAGTCAATGCGGTGATGTTCTTTTTAATGGTTATATTAATCCTCCACATTCAACTAATACACAAGTTTCGTATGAATCAACACAATTATTACCAGCTCAGCCGATTGTTTATCAACCAGCGATATCTCAACCGACAAGTTCAGTTCGACCTGGAACTGCTCTTCGATTGAATAATATCATGCAACAAACATTAAATCGTAGTGCATCACAAATAGGAGATTTTAGGTATGAGAAATAAATAAAACAAAATTTTTTTTTGCATTTTTAAATAAAAAAAGCTCTTAGTTGAACATATTGAATCTTCATAATAAACGCATGAAAATACTATTTAAATTAAGATCGAAAATATCTCAATGAAATGAGTTCCATCTAAAATGAAATTCACTAAAGCATACACTACAATTGTAGATTAGTATCGAAAAACCCAAAAGAATTTTTTATATACTATCCAGTTTTGTTTTGACGGTCTTTGTAGAGGAAAAAAAAGCATGAATCCGTATCCGTTATAGTTCATTATGAGAATATGAATAAAGCAAAGAGTCTAAAAGTTAATCACTACTCATCAATTCTTTTTTGTGTTACTCATAAAAAGAAAAAGCAGACTGAAATTAGAGATGCACAGGGTTAATCCTATCTTACTCTATAGGTTAGAGTACGAGTTAGAAAATTTCTCTCAGTTATGGTACAGGATACGAGAGAAGGTTAGCCTCACATATCTCTTATTGAAATCTCTTTTATGGAATGTTGCTTTTTCTTGTGTATTATAAAGAACTTCGTCGACTGACTTTGTTTCTGTGGGTCCATCAGCACCAAGTGTTAGTCGTGGACATTCACGTGCATCATCAACTGATTCAGTTCTTTGGGCTACACATCAATCAAACACATCATCATCTCACTTTCGTCAGAAATCAGCTGCATTTATGGATCATCATCCTCCAACACAAAATTCACCAACAGCAAGTGTCATTCTTCTTGCTGGACATCATAATTGGATTAGTGCTGCTTATTCAAACAATAGTACGGGATAATATTTATTAATAATTTTAATTAGTTTCCATCTTTTTTTCTAGTTGTCATGTGTTATAAAATGAAAGATACAAGTGGATGGCAAATTATGTTTGAATCTGAAGTTCAATCTGATGATATTTATCGTTTAGCTATAACAGCTCGTTCATCATCATCATCAACATCAGCTAATCAACAAAGTCAAGAATCAACATCAAACCTTCGAGAATCAAAACTTCTTGCTATTGCTGTACGAACAAATGTTCGTCTTTGGAATATAGTTGATGCATCAATTCATACTATTCTGGGAACATTTGCATTTGGTGGACCAATCGATAATTTATTTTTTATTAATTCACAATTAGTAGCAACAGGTGATGAAAGAAAAGTCGGTGTATGGCATTCAATTTCACAACAATGGCAAACACAAGAATTAACACGAATATTAAGTTTTGATACTGTATGAATTTTATTTTTCTACTTTTTATTCATAAAAAAAGAAACTAATTTTAATATTAGGCTGGAACATTTCTATTACTTGGAAGTGAAACAGGATCAATTTATTATTTTGATATGCAAAAATTTCCATTGAGAATGAAAGATAATGATTTATTAATTACAGAAATATTCAAGTAAAATTTTTCAAATTATATTTTGTTTTAATTTAATATAATTATAATTTTCTTTTTAGAGATCCAGCTGGTGAATCAATTACAGCATTAAGTGTTTACTTAACACCAAAGACAAGTGTTACAGGCAATTGGTAAGAAAACGAGAACAAATGAAAGAAAAAAACAAATTAAATTTTATCTTCACAGGATTGAAATTGCTTATGGCACGAGTTCTGGTATTATTAGAATTGTTGTACAACATCCAGAAACTGTTGGTCATGGGTAATCAGTTACCAAATATTTTATAATGTGACTTTTGAAACCTGATTTTATTTAGTCCTCAACTTTTTCAAACATTTTGTGTACATCGTAGTCCAGTAACAAAGGTTTATATCAATGAAAATCAAATTATTCAATTTATTTGTTTTATTCATTTTCTAGATTATGCTTTCGGAGCGGCATTTAATTAGGTAAAATTATTTGAAATTGATTATTATAAATTTTATATAATAATTAGTGTATGTGCTTCGAATAATCATGTTCGTACATGGAATGTTACTCGTTTTCGTGGCATGATTTCTACGCAACCAGGTTTCATAGTTTCGATTTAGTAATATTTCATAAAAATCAATGTTTTATAGGATCAACTCCTCTTGCTTCCTATCGTGTTATATCTATTGAACCAGCTCGATCAATAGCTAGTTATACTGCTGGCAACGTAAGATTGTCTGTTTTCTTTACTCGTTCATTTTCTTTTCTTGTTTTCTTTCTAGGATATTGGTAAGAATTATTCATGGAAAAATAGGATGAAAAAAAGTATTTGTTAATTAAGGACCATATGGTGATCGTGATGATCAACAAGTTTTTGTCCAAAAAGTAGTGCCATTTGAAACAAATCAAATTTATGTCAGATTCTGTTCAACAGGTATATTTATATTCTTAGACAAAAGTTTTTCAACCATATAGAATTTATTTTGAGATTAATGATAATTGCAAATAGAAAGTTGTCATTGGGACCCTTATTGAATTAAAATATAAAACACAATATACTTGCTGACATTTTAAAAGAACGAACTTATCACTATAGGTTTCAATTTATGAATTTTTACTGACTAGTGAAGATGATAATTGTAATATATAATAGTTTGTGGGAAAGCAAGGTAAAGAATCGCTATCTGAAATTCAACTGTATTCCAAATTAATCTCGCAATGGGATTCCCATTTTTCGTCAATAAGACTTTCGTCAATTATTGACGAAATTACGAGGAATGTACTGACAAGAGTTTTGTAAGCTATCGCCAATCGTCATAGAACATTATGAATTCAACGTAGATGTGACAAGTACGTCCAAGATTATTGAAATATAGCTTGCTGATGGCACTTGGAGTGTGTTCGGATATATTCAAATCAATTTTGAGTTAAAGAATACTTGAATAAAGGAGGAACAGAAGCGAAAATAAGAAAGAGAAAAAACAAACCATGAGAAGACAAACGGTAAGCATTATCACTACAGTATTAAAATATGAAACACGATGTAGCTGCCGTTGCTTATCGTAGGAGCATTGTTTTATTCTATCCATTTTGGGGCAAATTTCTTCACCATTCTTTTATTTAATCCTACAATAATACAACAAGGAAATAGTTCATTGATTATAATAAGATCTTATTGACATACAATCTGTGATCGTATGTCAACAGCGTTTGTCACAGTCTGTAAAGAAGGGTCCGCACTAGGGCGGGAGTACAAATTTCCATTCTAAAGGCTTCAACACTTGTTTTAGATTGTGTTTTGACTAAAGCAAAAATAAGATCAATTTAAAAAGTCCATCAGAATTAACTAAATCCGATCTAACAATGAAATAGAAGGCGAATAAAAGAAATCTGATTTTGAAGCATAAATTTTTGTCTTTTTTTTCTTCTTTAACAAACAAGTTTACCAATAAGATGAGAAGGAGTCATTACTGTATCAGTCAATCATCTTTTTTTCAAGTTCAACAAGTGTAATAATTTTTCAGTCTGCTTAATTTTACGTACTGCTACATGTATTGTGACTGGCATTTATCAAACAATGAATATCTGAAATATTTCAACAAATGAAATATATGATTACGGCATAGACGAACACTATGTGTAGATATAATTGATAAAAACCTCTTTAATCAATACCAAAGAGAAACTTGTATTACCCAGTTCGGTGGGCTTTGACCAATTGACCAAAGTGTAGGGCGGGGAGGGGGGGGGAGTCGTTCATTACCGAAAATCCAGTGAACATTCGCCCATTGCGAGCATCCTATTGGCGAACTTCTGATAATCCTTCACAATAGGCTTCGATCTCACGGCTACGTTTACCATAGTTCATGGGAACATCATGGTAATACCAGAATGTCTGTGTCACATCTGAGAAGAAATGTGTTTTATAATAATTTGTTAGGACCATTTTCAAATTAAAACTCAATGAAAACCTTTCGCGCTGCACTTGAAAGCAAATATTATGCTACAGAAAAAAAACTAATGTCTTGTTGTTTTTCTTTATAGGTAGACGAGTCGCTATTGTTCGATCTGTGGATAGTTCTCCAATCAGTTGTTTTACAATACATGAATGTGAAGGACCATCAAGATTGAGTACACGTCCTCGTCGATTTATTTTTACTGGTCATGATAATGGTTTGTTTAAATAACTTAAAAGACAAAAAACGAAAGAAAAAACAAGTCTATTCTTTTCATAATAGGATCTATTCAATTATTTGATTTAACAACTGCTATTGAACTTAGTTCAAATTCAGATTTAAATGCTCTGTCATTATCATCTTCATCATCTCAACAAAATAATGGCGGTCCATCGCCAGCTGATTTACTGAAGATGCTTGATCATTGTGATTTTGCAGCTACCAATGGTCAAAATCAAAATTTTTTATCATCACGTTGTTCAACACCGTGTTGTATGAGTAATAATTTACCAATAACAACTGTCAATTGTACGACTGCTTTAATATCTTCACCACTATCACAAACAATAACAAAAGAGGACAATGATAAAACTGTTTAATATTTCATTTCTTTCTCTTTCTATATCTCTCTTAAATAATACGTATTTATTTTAACACACACACACATACACAAAACAGAAAATCAAAAAAAAAATTCGCGCTTCCAAAGTATGAGTAAAAAATCTATCTTATATCTTATGTTTTTATTTCTTTTTGTTAAATTAAGTCTATGTCATTATTATCGGGTTTATGATTCAAAAAATTCTTAATCAATATAAAAAATACATCATAAAAAAATCTTTCAGATGTTAAAAGTCTTGAATACTTATGACCATGATTTATCACTTCGGTGGGCTTTATGTGGTCGATTGAATTCTCCATATCTTTATTTAAGAAAATTTATAATTGCTTTAGAATTTTCTGGTTCAGGTTATGTTTGGATTCCTTATTCATTCATTATGATTGGAATTAATTACACATCAGTAAATGAAGCTATGCGTTACATTTTACTATTTACTGGACTTATGTTTGATGTTGCTGTTATTGGTACAGCAAAATGGTTTGTACGTCGCCCAAGACCAATAATTAATCATGATGATGTTCTTTCAATAGGACCAGATAAATATTCTTTTCCAAGTGGTCATACATCTCGAGCTGTATTTCTACTTTTTTATTTTATAAATACTTCTTTTTTTCAAAATATCCGAGGTTCAGTTATTATAAGTTGGTTAAGTACTGTAGTTGCATCACGTATTTTATTAGGACGTCATTACATATCAGATGTTTTAGCTGGAGTTTTGTTTGGAATTTTTGAATGTGCAGCTGTTGTACGTCTTACACCTTTTGTAACTCAACTTGTTTTTTCTATTTTTGATGTTCCGCATTGATGATCCAAAATAAATTGTGTTTTTTTGTCTGTCAAGACTTTATATCGTAGGTTTGTTGTTTTACATTGGTTGTTATCAATCATTTGTTTGCAAACATCACACACACATTCATTTGTGTTTGTTGACGAAAAAAGATTAGATCAAAATTGTTTGATTTCAACAAAAGAATGATGAACATCAACAAGTCAAAAACTTTTGATTGTCATTATTCATTGATGTACAATGATGACAAGTATTTTAACTTCTTTGATCATGATTATATGGATAATAGTTAATCAAGGCAATGGTTCAAAAAAATATAACAAAGAATTGACTCTTTTATTTCTTTTTAGTTCAAGCAAATTGTCAAAATGATACATCAGAATCAAAATTTATATATCGACGTGTGTAAGTATATTCAATTATCATGATTTATTGAAAAATCTTCTAATTTAGTTGTTATTTTGCCAATTGGGCAGCTAAACGAACTGATAATATTAGTCGTTTAACTCCCGAAGATATTGATCCATTTTTATGTACACATATTAATTTTGCTTTTGGTAAAGTACTCGAAAGTTTAACATTAGCACCATATGAAGAAGATGATTTGAAAGGATGGACTCTAAATTCAAAAGGCATGTATGAACGTGTATTAAAACTGAAAGAAACCAATCCCGATCTACGTGTTTTATTGAGTGTTGGAGGGTGGACACATGCATCACGTGGATTTAATGATGTATCAAAAAATGATGCTAATATGTATGATTAATTTATATTTTCATAAAATATAAAATATTATTTTTCAATTTAGAATGACTTTTGTCAATAATAGTATCAAATTTTTACGAGATAATAAATTTGATGGATTAGATTTAGATTGGGTAATTAATATAGATAATTTTATAAAACACAATCTAAAAGCAGTATTGAAGTATAGAGATAGAAACTTGTTTCCCTCATCTACACAGTGTGTATCTAGGCGGATATTTGACTAAAAATGAAAATCGCACTTTTTCAAAATTTAAATTTAAGGAAATATACGTCGAAATACAGTCGATCTAATAGTATAAATAACTTTGTTACAATTCTCAAAGAAATGAAAAAACTTGTTTCAAAATAATTAGCTTGAAAATCTTGATGTTATCAGGAAGATTGAAATCTAACAAAGTTAAATTGTTTAACAGACAAATCAAACACATTTTCTAAACCTCGAAGTCGAACACTATACAATGGTAAAAAATATTTTTCTACACTGTCGTTCGAACAGCTAGCTTAGTAAAATGGGCAAACCAGCCTCCAAACATTTGAAAATTTTACCAAGATGTTCTTCTATCTACTTTCTCTAAATACTGTTAGCGTAGAAACTCCTGGACTATGCGGTGGGTTTCTACGTTATTGATATATGATCACAGATCGCATATTAATAACAGCTCATTATAATAGAGTTCTGGATAAAAGTAACCTGACCTAATGAAGTACTATTATTCTTTATGATATTGCACTTATATTATGAATGCATGCGCACGACTATAAACCCTAGTCACAAGCAATGACCTCCTTTCAATCAGTTAACATATGCTGGAGTTATAATGTAGACGTCACCTTATCTCAACCATGTTGTCCTGTATGTTTTTGTCGAACTTTTCATTCAAAAGATTAACGTCGTAGGTATTTCTAGTTTGGGTTTCGTTAGAAACCACTTTAAAATAACTGAGATATTGTTTTCTCATCAAGAATATGTATTGAAGAGCAAAAGTTGTTTTTTTTTTACTGAAATGGATATTTTTCATGATAATCTTGACTAATACATTTGAAAATTTTACAAGAAATTTCCGATGAAACGAGAAGTTTCTTTTGAAAGTTTGACGTGTAAAATATTGAATCAAATCGAGTTAACGCTATGACATAGATTCACTATTTCAGGACGTTGATGTTTATAATCAAAATTTATTGGCGTACGCATGTACCGAAAATATCAATTTAATATTATAAAGAATAGTAGCAGTTCATGGGGGCGGCTACTTTTGTCCAGGACGGTAAATGAGCCATTTCTTTATTGCATATTTGGAGGATTAAGTAAAATGATAGTGAAATGTGTCCCAAAATAGATTGGATAAAATAGTCATCATGTGATTAACAACAGCAATTACATCGTGTTTTGCATTCTAATCCTACAGAAATTATGTTAATAGCTTTATTAAATTTAGTTGAAAATATTTTATTTCAATAGGAATACCCAGGTGCAAAAGATCAAGGTGCAGAACCTCATTCTAAAACTGGCTATACAAAATTAGTCAAGGTAAAAGAAATATGTAAAATGA